CCAGCTTGCTGTGGGATCAGACATGAGTTGTTGTAGGTTTTATGGGCCACAAAGGCCAAAAAACCTACAACAACCCAACCTAAGAATTATTCATTGTTGGTTTCTGGATTTTAAGAACAGACCTATTAGAAAACGCATTAAGAATGTGGGTCAACTACAACTCCCAACATTATCATATTTCATTGTTCCAAAACCACACCAGAACTGAAAGTTGGCCATGGTGGGACTTTATGCCCCATTTGTTGTTGTTGTTGTTGTTGTTTAAAACTCACTGTCCCCTCCCAACTCCCTCCAGATCCATCTTCGATGGGTCAGAGTGCTGTCTGAATGTGGATGAACTATAACTCCCAAAATCCAAGGCCAATTCCCTCCAGTACTCAAAGTTGGGTACTCCCCCCACCCCCAATAAAAATAAGCTTATCTTAAAGGCATTTTAGAGAGTTTCCACAGGAAGCCACAGCCAGCGGAAACAGCGCAGTATCGAAGCATCAGCTCCGAAACACACAACCCTTCTGCTTTTGGGTCTTGCAGCAACGAAAGGACTTTCATTTGCTTTGCCCAGGAAAAGGCAAGGAGGAGGATGAATGGCTTCAGGGAGCCAGGGCTGTGGCTACTGGTCCTTCTCCTGCTGCTCCTGGTCCACTGCAAGCAAACCTCCGGCAGCTCCGTGCCCCAAGGTGAGTGCTTTATGGCGGATGGACATCATTCTGCCCCTCCAGATTGGCAGAAATGCCCCTTGAACCCTTTCCCCATACGGGCAAATGTGTACACTTTGCATGATTTATGTGATGTCGACAGCCTGGAAACCAGACAGCACCCTAACTTCATTTATATCCCACCTTTCTCCCCATTGAATCATGTAATTAATTTATTCAATTATTTTATTTTATTTTCAATTGTTTTATTTCATCAATTTAATGTAATTGTAATTCTTTAATTAATTAATTAATTTAATCATTTGATTTGATTTGAATTATTTTATTAGAATTATTTGATTTAATTTCAATTATTTTATTTTATTGCTTTCTCATTTCTGTATTTGTTTTGTTTGGCTCACAAGCGCACATGGTCCGAAAACCCATTTCAAGCAAAACGAAAAATACAGAAACGAGCAGACCATTGAATGAAATTGAATACTTGAAATTAAATTAAATAATTGAAATGGCTTCAAACTATAAGAAAGGAGATTCCATCTGAACATGAGGAAGAACTTCCTGACTGTGAGAGCCGTT